GTGTGTGTCTGTGTGTGTCTGTGTGTCCCTGTGATCGAGACTCCGGGCCCTGCTCCATGGGGCAGGCTCTCCAGTCTCCGTGAGCAGAGCCTGTGCCTCGGTCCCTCCGTGTCTGGCTCGCTGCGTTCAGGGTGACTTCTCCTGTCAGGCCTGTGTTGGGTGAGCACCTCACATGTTCTTCGCAGGTGAACGCTTGACACCCTTCAGTACTCCTTTTTGTCTTTGCTTGCTTTGTTTTTTGAGGTAGTCTTCTCGCCTGGCAACCCTCTTGCCTCAGCCGCCCAAATGCTGGATCACAGATGTGCGCCATCACGCCTGGCTTCCCTCTTTTTCTTTTATGTCCGCTATACCCTTGGTGATTCCCATGGGCTCCAGCTTCCACACCCAGAGCCCATCTCCACCACCCTGGCCGGAGCCCCCTGGACGTGGCCACTGCGTCCTAACTGGCCTCCCTGCCCCTGTGCCGCAGCCTTCTGGTGCCGCTGAGAACATCCGTGTCTGCAGGTCTGCGGGGCCCACCCTCGGCACCCTGCCCTTCCCTCCCCACCTGGCTCCCTGGTCCACCTCGTCAGCACTGGTATAGGCCGTGAGCTGTGCCTGGGGCGGCGTCTGCTGGGTGTGCTCTACCTCGCAGAGATGCCGTGCCTCCCTCCACCCACAGGGCCCGCCTGGCCGGTGGTCCTCACCCTCCTGTCTTCTGTACACGTGGCCATGTCAGCCCCGTCTGCTGCTCTCTCCTCCCTCCTGGCGCTCAGGCTCCGTGGGGGTGGCTCCCAGCCGTGTTCCTCCTCTGCCCACAGCTGGAGACCCTGTAGCCCCGGCTCCGCGTTCCTGTCCAGTGAGGGTGTTGGGCAGTGCTGCCTGCTGGGCCCTGGAAAGTGGAGGACATGGCCCAGGGCAGTGCCCCGAGGGGAGCGGGTTGCCCTCTCTGCTCCAGCCTGGCTTCTCCTGGCAGCTGCTCCTGGAGGTGAAGATGAGGGCTCAGCAGCACAGTGCCGACCTGGCAAGTGCAAGGTCCTGAGTTCAAATCCCCCCGCTTCTTTCCAGGGCACTGAGGGAACCTGGAAACTCCCCTTCTTTCCAGGGCGCTGAGGGAACCTGGCCGATTTGTCTCTGTCGTTCTGATCTCGTCTTCTGTGAGAGCTCAAGGAGCAGAGCTTCTGCTCAGCCCGTGCCTGTTTCCTACGTCAGTGGACACCGGGCTCTGTGCCGTGTGCAGCAGGGACTCACAGCCTCGTCAGCTTCTGGTCCTGTCGAGGGCTTTGCCCCAGTCCAGCCCCCACCCCTCCCACAGCTGGACCAGTACACGGAGGCCAGGGCTGAGGCACCAGTGGCCCAGGTAGGGACAAGAAGTGCTTCTCAGTCCTGTGTGCAGAGCCAGTAGGATGTGGGCTCCAGTACAGCTCTGTCATCATCATCACAGTGCTGCAGAGGACGAAAACCCAGGGGCACCCGCCGGGCCGGGCTCTCCCTGACACTGAGCTGCTCGCAGTCCCAGCTGTGATCACCCTGTGCAGGCCAGCACTGGTGACCACAGAGAGGACGCACTGCGCGGTTGCTGGCTTGGGCCAGGATGTTGTGACGGTGTTCAGCTCGCATGTAACCTCTGCCTCGGAGCTGGACAGGTTGGGAGGCGCCAGCTGCTGTGTGTCCTGAGGTGCACATGTCACTGAGGGGCCTGCACCCTGCCCCAACCCTGCTGCCGCCCTGCGGCCCTGGCCTTGGGTCTCTGTGACCTTGAGCAGGCGCCGGGGTCCCAGCTGGGCCAGAGCCTCGTGGGCAACACCAAGCTCCAGTGCTCAAGGGCTGGGAGCTTGGGCCTGGGGCTGCCTGGTGGACAGGGCTGCGTCCTCTGGCTGCTGAGTTTGCCCTTCTCCGGGTCTCAGGGGGTTAAATGCCACCAGGAAGCAGCAGGGCCAGCTTTCCCTGCTTCTATGCAAGGAGGAGAAGCATTTTGCATCCCTTCCTGGGCCTGATGACTGCAGATAAAGCATCTGGTTCCTGTTTGTTTCCCGCAGAGCTAGGCGGGCAGTGTCAGGTGGGCTGAGCTGAGCGTGTGTGGGCTCTGCTGCACGAGGGGAGGAGGACGAGACAGCCCAGCCAGGGGACGCAGGGCCCCTGTCGAGTGCTTCCCGGGCTCAGGCTCACCCTTAGGTGCAGGGAAGGGGTCGGTACAGAAGGTTCCTGGATTTGGGGGAGTCCTGGGAGCCAGGCAGTCAGGACAGGGATCCAGATGCTGGCTTCAGACCTTTCTCACTCTCTGCCCTGGCCACAACGAAAGCTTCAGCAAGGAGCAGGCAGGAGCAGATCCCCGAGAGAGACAAACCTTCGAGCAGGGCAGCCACTGTGGGTGGGCACGACCTTGCACTGCCAGGCCCTGGGGAGGGCACGGGATGTGATGGTCCAGGGTTCTTCAGTGGGGCAAAGGGGCCCACCTGGCACCAGCTCTGGAGGGCTGAGACGTTGGGAGCAGCGGTCTCGGGAGGTTGGACTGGGCTGCTAGGTCTGAGAGTGAAGGTGCCCGGGCCTGAGGGTGCCGAGGAGCAGGGAGGGAGGGAGGCCCAGGCCTCACCTGCCTTCTGCTCCATGGGCTGCGCAGGGAGGGAGGGCGTTCTCTGGGGTTTGGTTCCTCCAGTGGGGCCAGAGCAGAACCAGAACTTGGCAAATCTGGGGGATTTTTTTTTAAACTGTTGCAGAATTCCTTG